GTTCAGGGCTCGACTTCTCAACCTTGTCTCTTCCCCCCTTGCACTCCTCTCCCTCCCGCTGATGCTGCTGATGGCTTCCACGAGGCACCCCAGCAACTTCCATCTGCGTCGTAGTCTGTCTCTGTCCCGTTATGATTTACTTATGATTTATTATATTTATTTATTGGTTTTCCCACACACTGCTTCAAACAATAAGACATATAATAAGGGGCTGTTAAGTCAGATCGCGGACAAGGATAATAATAGTAGTAGTTTGTAACACCGCGCGCCGCCCCCCCTCCCCCCCTCCCTTCCTTCTGATGTACTGTAACTACACTACCGTACATCGTACGTTCATGGCCATGCCCATGTCCACAAGTGTGCATGTACGGCGTATGCATGTATGTGGCCGGGCGGCCGTGTGTGGCCCCGGGGCCAATAATAAGAATGACTTTTCATTTTTTATTTTTATTTCCCCTCCTCTTCCCCGCTGCGGCCTTTTTCTTCTTCGCTCTCGTCTGTCTTCCTTCTTTCGGACGCTGCTGGCTGGGAGAAGAGAGAGGAGAGAAAAAGGTGAGATGAGATGAAGTGTACTAATAATCATCATCAGAAGTTAATAATAATATCTCTCACTCCCTCGAACCTCATCAAGCGCGGTTGTCGACGGGGGCTGATAGGTAGAATATGTATGCGATGAATAAAAATGATAGTTATATTAGAAGAATATGGGTGAAGGTTTTGTAGGATAGTTGAAGGTTGTATTGATAGATCTATCTACAGGAACATATTATAGTGGTGGGTCACGTGATCTAGTGGGATCGCTAACCGCAACGGCTGTAAGGGCCAACACCCCCCCTCAAGATAACAAGAATCACATACAAAAACACCCAAACCACCAAGATAGTCTGTCAAAATCAAATACAAATGTAAAATTAAACATTCTCAACTTTTATGCCTGTAAGACCTAGCAAAACCATGAATCGCGCAAATGTCACATTGCCTAGGGATTTAGTGAGTTCATCCATCACCATCTGAGCGGTGAGAATGTATTCTAAATCAATGACCCCCTGATTCAACTGTCAATATGAAAAATGGAAACATGTGTCAATGTGTTTGCTTTGAGCTGTAATGGCTGCCACCTTTGTGAGATCTATAGCACTCTTATTATCAGTGAGGATCTGTATCAGAGATGTAGTGATGAAGCCAAGCTCAATCATGAGGTTCCAGATCCATGTTGCCTCGCAGACCGCCTCACTAAGAGCCACATATTCAGCCTCATTGAAACTTAGAGATACACAAGGTTGCTTCACTGAATGCCATGAAATCAGGCCATCTGCAAGCTTAAAAATGTAGCCAGATGTTGATTTCCTATCACCATTCAAGGGGCTGGCTCAATCAGAATCCGAGTAGCTGAAGAGTAGGTAGAAATCATCAAGGAAATCAGGGATAATGAAAAGATCAGTAGAAATGAACCTCTCATACAGACCATGTCTGTAGAAAATGCCCAGATTCATGATCTCTTTCAAATAATGTATGACATGTAATAGAGCCTTTCAATATTGAGGTGTTGAATCAACATTCTGTTAAGTGAGTAGTGAGGCAGTATGAGTGATATCAGAATGTGTTTTGACTGCAAGATATTATAAGCAACTCACACCATGTTGATATCACTGAATTGTGAAATCAGCCTCTTTCTCAGATATAGGGAAATTATCAATGTGAAATCCATTCTTCATAGATATTCTGACAACAGCTGCATCATTAAGATAGAAATCTTCAACAAGACACTTAATATATTAACAATATATCAAATCAATTCTCTTGTCTGAACAATTGATCTTCATACTTAAATACTTGGTTGACTGATGTAGATTCTTAACTTTCAATTTCTCACTGAGCATACTCACTAGTCAATCAGCATTCTCAGAAGCTTCAGATATGATGTTGAGATTGTCAATGTAGATCATTATATAGAGGTGATATCTGAATGTATGATACCAGAGTGCTGAATCATGAGCACTGACTGTAAATTCAAGATCACTCAACAGAGCTGTTAAGTAATCATACCAGATCTTTGCTGCAGGGTCCAGGTCATATAAACTATTCTCAACCATGCAGACAAGTGTTTTCAGTGAACCTGTCTCAAATTCAGTGAATTGTCTCATATAGACCTTCTTAGTGAGACACTTATGAAGATATGCTATCACTATATTCACTTGACAGAGTGTTCAACTGTGTAGTGCTGCTATTGTAAAAAGAATACAATTAGCAGTATTAGTGATGACAGAAGTGTAGATCTCTTCTCTAGAATTCTTCTTAAGTCAGTTATCACAAATCACTCAACACGATTTTCTAAGAATATTATCAGGATTAGTATTCGGGTCCACAGGCCTATCTTTCTCAAGAAACACTCAACAGCCTGGAGCAATTGATTCACTTCTTAAGATGTCAGATCTAGGGATCAAACTTCATGTATTATGTCTCTTCAGGTCAGTAATCTTGCATTACATGAACTTCTTTCAATAATCTTCTACCCTCTCTGACTGAGATGTGGCATTCTTGTAGAACTTCAGGAGATTGTCTGTAATGAGGCTTGAAGTGTAAGTAGCCAGTGATTTCACAGGCTGCAACTATGTAGAATTTGAATTATCAATGTTGAGAGCATCTTCATCATCAACCAGATGAATATCAGGTTCTGGTTCACTGGCATTATTAATGAATGCCACAGATGTGATAACTGGTTTTTCAGTAATCAGAAACCTCACATCACTACTGACAATAATCTTGTCAGATTCAGAATGTCATAGATGATATATTGATGTGCCACTGAATTCAATGATATAATAGAAATCAGCATGTGAAGAAAGCTTATCTGCGGGCTGCTGAGATTCATGCAAGTGAACAAAAACCTCTGCACTCAATCAGCAAAAATGCCTTACATTCAGTGAGGTATTTGTAAGTGCACATCAAGAAATCTTATATGAACTTGGAACTACAGAGATCTCTGCAGTAGAGGGCCAAAATTTCAAGTTATAAAGAACTGTAGATGTGAGAGTATTATTGATTATTGCAATCACTGTCTCTAAAATATCTGCTCAGAACTTCTTAGAAAGATTATCTTTCAAAAGAGCAGCTCTAACCTGTTCTATGATAGTGCAGATTTCATGTTCAGAAACATCATTCTGATGTGATGAATGTGATGCTGTTAGTTCTTATTTGATATCATATGAATCTATAACTGTGTGCATACATGTGGATCAGAAAACATCATCAATATCAGTTCATAGAAAAGCAGAGACTGTATACCTGAGATTACTTATGAATCTGAGTCATAACTCAAAGTATTGAACAGCTTCATCCTTGAACTTTAAAAAATATACTCAATGATAGTGAGTTGCATCACAGGTGATGAGCATTCAGTATTTGATTCTCTGGTGAAACTCTAAGAAGTGATCAGAGAGGTCTTTCAATGTACATCTGCCACCTGCAAGGTCAATATGAACCTTCTCAATGAGTCAGATAGATCTAGACATCAGTGTTTTCAAATAATCTCACATCATATCAGCCTTGACACATTTCTTGCAAAAGAACTTAGTCTTAGAACCCTTAATTATGACTTCAGTATGAGAATTCTTGGCTATAGCAATTATAGCATCAGTGTGAATGTGACTGAGATTGTAATGTCAATTCAAAAGAGTCTTTGATATCTTTGATGTCTGTGTCTTGAGATCTGTATTCATGTCTGCAGAATCAACATTATTAACAGTAGTGACAGCAGCCACAGAAAGATCAACTTTTCAATCAAAATTGTACTTGTGAGACATCATTGCAATATACTTGACTGCCCTGTTCAGATGATTGAAATTCTCATTGAACTCTCATTCATCAATCTTATATATGTTGTTCTGAGCAGTCCGGACTGCATGAAAAATAACACTGTTTAAGACTCTGCAAATGAAAAAAGAGGGAATAGTGAAAGACAATGTAAATTGAAATCTCTGATCTTCAAGCTTCACAAATGAGAGCAGGTTAACTGTAATATTAGAAATATAGTGAACATTCTGCAAGTTAACATCATCACTCTCAATCTTCAAGGTGACAGTCTCAATCTTCTTAACAAACCCAGTTCCCTCAGTGGCAGAATTGACAGAGATGTTATCATTAAAAGGTTTGATATTTGAGAAAGAATGAAGCTCATCTGTCATATTCAGGCTTACACATGTGTTCAAATACCAAGATCTAGAGAATGGTTTTTCAGTGACTGTGAAAGAGAAATAGAACTCAATCTTCATAATTGCTGCATTTGCTGCTGATTGAGAACTCATTAAGTCATTCTTCTTCTCTTTCTTCTTGTCATTCTTCTTGTCATTCTTCTTTCTCTTTTTATCAGAGTGTAAGATAAAACACCTATCAACAGTATGTTCATATCTTCTGCAGTGAATGCACTTTCATACAGATGTGCTTTTGTCCTTATCTTTGTTCTTATCTTTGTCCTTGTTCTTTTTCACAGTCACAGAATCAGCCTGAGACTGCTTTTTCCACTTAGTAATGATCTTCTTGAATGTACAATTGATCAGTTGCTTCATCAAATTATCAATATTAATGTTGATAATGAGTCCCTGATCAGTGAAGAAAAACTCATTCAAATGTGTCTTGACAAACAGTCTTTGATAATCTTGTAGATTGTTGAGAAAGAGATCATGATATATATTCTCAGTGCTCTGACAGAGCTCCTTGTGACAGACAACAAGATAGTGAAAACATCTCTGAAAAGTAAGATAATCATTCTTCTTGACTTGTAATTTTATCAATTTCTTGAAGACATTAACTTGTTTCTCTGTCAGTGATATTGTATATTTCACATTGATCTTGTCCCACAGAGCTGCAGCATTGTCAGCTTTCAAGGTTTCAATAGTAGTTCAAATGTTTCCAACAAGACTCAATAGCATATGCCTATATAGAGACTTGAAACGGATTCTTCACTTCTCAGAGTTGATATGACATGTAAAAGAGAATTCTTGTTAAGTTCTCAATAGAATGTCAGTTTCATCAATAACTTCTGCATCAGTCAACATATCAACATGCCAGGCTTCATAATTAGAGTCATTAAATGTGGTCACTGATTTGATGTTTAGTGCATATTTGACTTCCTTCTGGTATTTCCACAACTCATTCCTTGTGATGTCTCTTTGTGCAGATGTAGTGAGATGTTGAGTGATTTCAGCTGCAGTCATCTGATTTCATAGCATCATCTGCATAAGATTCATAAGATTGCCTGCAGTGCAATAGATAGATTGATTCAGATCATCATTAAAAGTCAGCATTCTAAGGATGAAGAATAGTGAAGAATTCAATGAGTTGAAATGAACAGATTCTGCAGATGAATGTTGAGATTGACTCTGCTTTTCTTTGTTCTGAAGTTCCTCTGTTGTCTTATCATCAAATTCCATACTCTGGTGAAAACTGATCTCAGCCTTATCTTGCAAGTCAGAAGCTTTCTCATAATGAGTGATCATTCTATCAATGAGTTGTCTAGTGAAGTGTGTGATCCTGAGCCTTGAGCTGAACTCTGAAGTAACAGGTGTATCACTCATATTAAGGTGACTCTGCTTCTTCTAGATGTGTAAAAAAAAAAAATAAAAAGTGATATCCTTCACAATGGAGAATGCACTTTCTTAAAAAAAATAAAGTATATGAATTCACTGACTGACAGATTCAGGGAAAATGGAATATCTCTAATAAAGAGTAAGAGTCTTTCCAAAAAAGGTGAACTATCTGTGTCAAAAATGTGTTGGTACAACATTCTAAAAAGAAAAATGTGCCATCTGGGCTATAACCTGTAGAATAGTTGAAGGTTGTATTGATAGATCTATCTACAGGAACATATTATAGTGGTGGGTCACGTGATCTAGTGGGATCGCTAACCGCAACGGCCGTAAGGGCCAACAGGTTTTAATAGAGTTTTATCATTATTGGATATTATGGCGAAATAAATAAAGAAATAAAATGAAATGTTGATGATGAAGATAAGTCATCGATAAAGCGGGCTGTTTTGCTTTTTGATTGGTTGGTAACTTAATAAACCATTTCGACCATTTGATGTTTTCTCACCAGTAGTAGCAAAGGGAGGGGTATTTTTGCCTGTCGGTTTTCGAAAAGGCAGTTAAGACAGAAGATGAGAGAGAGAGGGAGAGAGGGAGAGAGAGAGAGAGAGAGAGAGAGCAAGGAACCCTTGAACGTGCTTCATTTTCTCGACGACCTCGCATACTGCGTAGTTAGTCATGCAAGGAGCATGGAGGGGTATGGATACCACTATGTCGTAGTCGTAGGGGATGCCTAGGAGAGTTAGTAAGATACAGTAGTACATCGTCGAATGGACACTCAGCGTCCTGCGTGCATACATACTAGACAAGACATCGTCAGAGTTTCTGCTACGGATGTACGGGGCAGGACCATGCAGTCTGAATGTCTTTATGTCTCAATTTCTGTACTCCTTTCCTTCACACTGAGGCGATTTTTCCCCCTGAAACTGTTTGCCTTGCAGCGGAAGTCAGTGCTGAAGGCGGGTTCACAAGAAGAAATGAAAAAGAGGGAATCTCCAGAGGGGTGATCATCCATTGATAAAAGACGACGTAAGAGAAAAAAAAAAAAAAAGAAAATTGAAAGCTTTTCCAGTTCACAGAGTCATCCCCGGAAGCCCTCCTATATCAGACTGGTTCAGGCCGCACCCGTCCGTCCCGCACCTGGGTTCAAAGGCTGGCTGGCTGTGAGAACAATATTAATGGCACCACCGCCGGCTCGAGTCCGTCGCTGCAGAGACTCCGCCGGAGTCCGAGCCGTTAGCACCCCATCCATCACTTTGTATGTACCCGGACAAAAGCACCACTCATGGTTGTTGAACGGATGGAGTAGTTAACTTACAGTAACTTCTGTGATGCAAGCTGGAATTTAGTTTGTCTTGTTTTTTTTTCCTTCTCTTTCTTCCCTCTGTGCTTCTAGTCTCATACTATACTGTAATTGGAGGCAGAGGGCAAATCGCATGCATTATGGAGAGTAAATTTTCTTCTTTTCTTTTTTTTCTTTTTTTCTTTTCTGACAATGCAGCAGTAGCATTGTACAGTATTTTGTCTAGAGTTAAAATTTGTTAATGATGATGATGAGCATTGGCGTGCACGGAAGCTGGTGACGGAGAATTTTTTTTTCATATCCCTGCCCATGCGAGATTCCGTGTGGTTTGAGGAGTGTATTTTTGTCATTTTCCCACCGCTGCTGCTGCTGCTACTACTGTTGCTGATGATCATGATGATTTGCCTGCTCCATACAGTTTTACGATCTGGGGACGGATGGATGCGGGTAGTTTCGAGAGCCAAATTCACCGCCTTAATTTTTGATGCCCGTTGTTGAAGTGGTGGATTGATTGTCCCGTCCTGTGGTATGAGTAGCGATCCGGCCACGCGAATCTTGGGCCCTGTTTGAGCCATGGTATATCGATGGATGCATTTTTGAGCAGTCCAAACAGACAAACAGACAAACCCTTTCCCATTTGTAAGAGCACGATACCATAGTCATGGAGGAGGTCTATTTCTATTTATTATTATGGAACTTACGCTGCGTATGTGTTGGCTGTGGGGAGGAAGGAGTTGCGTATATGAGGGGAGGGAGGTTCTGCCCCATTTTCTCTCCCTCTCCATCCGTTTCCATCAAGCTGGTAAGGTAGGTAGAGCAATACGCTGTAATAGAAGCTAATAATGGGGCAAAAAAAAAAAAAAGAGTTGACTCTTTCTTTCCCCCCACGATTAGGGCGCACTCTGTCCATAATGGGTCTTGGGAACAAAACGTGACGAGAAGAAAAAAGTCCACAGAAATCATCATCGTTAGGAATAGCGCCAATCAGAATGACAGAAGGGCAAAGTATAGTATGGCAAATAAATTACGGGGAATATTCAGACAGTACAGACTGTACGGGCACCAACAGCCCGAAGCGGCAAGGCGTCGTCTAATCTACCGACCCCTGCCCCCGTCCTTACCTGCAGCGGGTTCAACAGTCCTGCTTCCGCGGCTGGCGCTGGGGTGTGTTCGGGATTTGGTTTGCAGCTTCCCCCCCGGCTTAGGTTGTTTAGGCGGTTTGGCTTGGAGCTAAATGAAGGCCTCCATATCCCGGTGCCGTAGCGTGTATTTAGCTGTCATCATTAATACCCTCCGTTACCCGCGTATAGATGTTACTGTACATTACGTCCATCATACTATGTATGCCCCTGGTAGAAACCCTGGCGGGCCTAGCCCACTCTCGCTTCCCGCCGTGTGCAGCGAAGTGTCCGGTACAGTACCTCAAGGTATACCGAACCCCTAGGCTATTTACAGCGCTATGACAGCGCTATGACAGCGCTAGTCCCGGGCTTACCGCAGCGCACGACGACCACTGGGGGGGCAATCCAGGCCTAGCGCCGACTCCACAGTACAAGCTTGCGCTGGGCACTCCGACTAATTTATTAGTATTATTGGAGCCGCTGCTGCTGCTGCTGCTGCTGCCGCTGCGAGAGGGCAGGCGCTGGGCTTGGCTCCGTGCTTGTCGCCGCGAGGAGAAGTCTGGTAGTGACCGTCCGTCTGTCTTGTCTGTCTTGTTTCTCTTTGTGTGCCCCGGATCGTTCAATCGCTCCATCCATCTTCTTGCAGTTCCTCCCATCTCCTCCCATCTTCTTCTTCCTCCTCCCATCTTCTTTTCTCCTCCACATACATACAAACATATTCGCCGCACCCTGCCGGTGGTTTCTTCTCTCGTCCTTTTTTAAATCACCACCATTATTATTACTTATTCATCTTACTTCTACGACTTCGAACTGGAAAGCCTTCAATGTGCTTCCTGGAATAAGAAGACGAAGCAGAAGAACAGTCCGGTTCTCAACCCTCCCGATCCCCCCCTCTTCTTCCCTACCTGACGATAGATATATATCCACGTACTTAATATAATTCGATGACTTTACGAACCACGACATTCTCCCTGAGACTCTGATCATCCCCGATCCTCGTCTCTCCAATTCGCCTCTAGAACCACTCGTTTCTTAAATCCCGCACATGATGGCTGACCGTTCAGTGGATGCGCTACAGTGCTTCACCTTCATTTCAGAGAACGTCCCCGTATGGGTCACTCGAATTACTGACCTGGCCGTACACACAAAGGCAAAACATGCTGAGTTTACTGCGGAATATGCCAGGCTCGCGGCCTCGGGTGAAGCTGCTACAAAACCTCGACGGAGGAAGAATAGCTCGGAACACTCCATTCAACCAGATGACATGCACCCCTCGATAAAAGGCGCTGGCGGCTCCAATAAAGGTTCCCAGAAGGACTCCAAGAAGGCAGATGAACACGAGGAGGCCGTCGAAGAAATCAATGAGGACTACATGGACCCTATCACCCTGCTGAGAATGTCGAAACACTACCCAAATGATTTGAACCAACGGAAGCGGAATATAGCAACTTCGAAATCTGCAGGGACGGATCGAATAGTCCGACCCCGCCAGCTCGTTGTCGTCCATTATGACTCAGAGACTCAATTGACCCTAGAGAAATTGGTGAGAGATATTGGAGGTGCTAGGAATAATATTCGAAAAGGCCGGATGAGCCAGATGATGAAGTCCGGGTTCGGTCTGAAGTTCTTGGATCACGCCAAGCGAAAGTCAACCACAAGAGGACCAGGAGAAGGCGCCCGCAATCCCCTCGATACACTCGATCCACCGTCGAAACTCGGTAAGCCAGTCATCAAGGAAACTGGGTTTGATCTCGTTGATAAACAGTTGGAATTGGCACAGTCCCTGTGCGAATCGGCCGCTCATCAATTCCTGCGGTGCGGAGATTGTGTTCTAGAACTGGAGAAGGCAAAGGAACGGTTCGCTACCGTTCTGGAACTGGCAATGGTGGAGGTTGAACGGTTAGAAAAGGAGGCAGAGGCGGAGAAGGGGCAGGCTGCGAAGGCGACTGCGGAAGCTCTCATGGTGGGAGAGGGGGAGGAGGAGGAAGTGGAGAGGCTCGCGCCAGCGCCTACGCTGAATGGAGACGAGAAGCGGGCACCGGATGGGTTGGTGGCGGCCATCGAGGTCGACGATGGCTCGTCGATATCTTCTATCTCCATCGATATTACCGCCTTCAGGTCAAGCCGGTTTCGGGCATGATTCAGATGTTTCCGGGATGCTCTTGTTCATACCCATTAAGCATATCAATTCTCCACCCGCACACACACGCACACACGCACACACACATATATATACAAAACATCTACCCACTCCTTCGAAAAAGTCAGCTTCTCCGCTGCATATATCTATATTTCATAAACACGGCTTACAAAACGTCCTCCTGATCTCCTTGACCAAATCTACATATACATGACAGGATACCTTCTCCCCATCTACCTCCCACACCCCCCAGCATTCGGGGCGGGAGGTATTCTACTCATCCCCATCAACGACGGAAACGATTTAGTGAAAGGAAAATCAAGAAATAAGTTTTCACCACATAACCGGTCCCTCCGCTATATACATTACATCATATCCATTTCCATATTATATCTTACTACATATAGTTCCACTCCTTGACATTTCCATCCACACCCCCATTTACATATCCCTACTCCACCAGACCCAACCCTCCCAAAGATTCGCAGAGGTACTTACTTTCGTTATTGAAACATGGCGCTACTCTACTCCGCACTCGTTGTCACGTCCTTTTTGTCCTTTTTGTCATGTTGTTTTTCTTGATTTTCGTCTTTTATTTTGTGTGTGTCCGTCTGTGTGCGTGTGTCTAATGAGGGTTTTTTTATTCTCTTTTCGACGGATAAGGTGGGAGAGAGGAAGGGGTGAGAAAGCTATACTCATCCTTCCTTTCCCTAATCCTTTCGCAGTCCGTCGCCCGATGATGATAGCGTTTTTCCTTTATATATATATATATTTGCTCGTTCTATCCCACTTGTGTTTTTTTTCGTTTTTAGTCCTGATACCTGACTTATGCTATCTTATTGATCTATCGATCTATCAATCTAGCATGGCGTTTTTTTATTTTTATTTTTTTTCTGAATATTTCCAAATGTCCAAATTCCGTTGCTTTTTGTTACCTTGCGAGATCGTTTGGCGTGGGCATATCTTTTAGTCATTTATTTATTTGTTTGGTCAATGATCGAATCTCTTTGCTGAAATTTGTTTTGGTTCTTCCCTCTACAGGGGAAAGATTGATGACCCGTTCCTATTCTTCTTGTTTCATGCCCATATCATCATATCATATTATATCCGTAATTCTTTTTTCTCTTTTCTTTTCTTTTTTTTTTTTCCCTCTTTTTTCTTTTCCCGTTTTGAAATTCTGAAATACTGCGATACTGACATCTGTTTGGTTTGAAACAAACAGAGGAGGGGGGGAAGAAAATGACAAAGAAGAAATACAGAGATATACATTACTCACTACCCTCACTCCTATACTCACTCCCTTGGGGCTTATATATATATATACATCTACATAACTTGCACAAACCGAAACCATATATTACCGATTATGACATTAACTACCATGGCAGATTTAATGTGATGGAATGAGTGGGTAAAGCAAAGTGAGAGAGATTTGCCCTCTTTACCTATTTGAGAGAGTGCTGCTATGTTTATGATTTTGATGATGTTGATGTTGATTTTGATTTTTTTGATTTTTGATTTTTTTAAATGGCTTTTGCTTTTCTTGCTTCATTGCTTCGTCGTCTATCATTTCTTGGTGAAAGCATTTCAAGCGTTTCTTTTTTTTCTTTTTTTCTCTTTTCTTTTTTTTCTTTTTCCTTTTATTTTCCTCCCCAGTTAATGTTTTGTTGGTTAAAAAATCCTCCCCTATTTAACAGAATATAACATCACATATCATACCTATCTCATAGCGCAGAGACAGAGAAAGCGAAACAGACAACACGCACGAGCATCGATCCATTATTATTAAATAAATAATGATTTGGAATCAAAACCGCCTGTTTTTAACCCTCGAGTAGGCTGCCGACTGGAAAACGACGCGAACAATCATGACGGTGTTGTCTTTCAAAAAGAAAAAGTGTACGAACAATACTGGATCTGCGAAGTAGTTATACCTAGCTAGGTAATTGGTCTTTTCCCAATCTCATGGCAACCCACAATTAAATTAAATTGGTAACAGAGCCTCGGAAGGTTGGTTGGTTGGTTAGGTGGGATATTGGTTTTCTAGGTTTAAACTAGTATTTATTTTCTCAGGTTGGAGGTGTGTGATATGTCATATTTTTCTTTTTCTTCCCTTTCTCTTCTTTTCTTTGTAGGGTAAGGTACATGCATACACACACACACAGCGTACAGTGTCCCGTCGGAGATATTATTATTTTTGTCCTTGCGTCGGAAATATTATTTTATTTTTGTTTCATTTTTATTATTTTTTGGGAGGGCGGCCTGCATTAGGGTATTCCTGCAGGACGGACGAGCTTTTGACAGGCGGGGGAGGCGTTAACTTAATCAAGCAAGCTAGCTAGCTGACTTTTGAGGAAATCTTCTTTTAATGTTCGTTTCTTTCTTTGACATGATTTCACGAAGTAAAGCAACGTAATGACACATTTCATTTTTAAGCTGGTTAACTACCTACAGGAAACAAATGAGTGGTAGTTAAAGGTATTTGGGCCGAACGGCTTTCTTTAAGAAGTTTATATAACTCTGTAAAACTATCCCTAACGGATAGTTACCGGAGCCGTCCACAGCTAGGTAAATAGGGTGGGTGCCACTGGAGCGGATGTCCGACCTATCTCTATCTGACGATGACGATGATGTTGTTGGCATATAGCTAGCTGGATATGGGATGTTACCAGGGCGGGCCCACCGCTCATACTACATGCTGTCATGCCTTGGATCGAGATCGTATAGTATGTACATTATATTGGCGGGAAGTGCAACTGGTAGCACGTACAAGTAACCTGCTTTTCATTGGTTTTGGTCCTACCATATAGGAAGTGCGAATCGAGATTAATACATATTTTCTATACCCTAGAGCTTGGGCTTGGTAGAGAGAACAGGAGGGATAGTTATCAGCTTGAAAGACGGCCCTTGCTATGGACATTGCTTGATGGATCGCAAGACTATATATCTAGTCATTTCAACTTCTTTTGAACGGATATTTTTCTCCTGTTGGTGGGAAACCGCCCTCTATACGTGCTTGATGTCATGCGAAGTTACCTCAAAGAAACGAGACATGCGTACTCATTCAATAAAAGGTGCGCTGTGAGGTGGGGGAGTAGATACAGCCAAAGGGTGCCGTGCCCTTTCTCCTGTCGCATATTTTTGACCGCTGATCATATATTTATTAGATGCCTGGATACTGGGCACACCACCTACTACTAGGCTAGGTCCTGCCAGTAACCATCTTGCGCGGAGTGATCGTCAACAGATTGTCCTCTTTATCCCCTGATATACATACACCGTTGCATTGGACACTGCGATCGAGGATTCGGCATTCAAGTCTCTGGGGTTGTAAAGCATCGTAAGTTGTCGCAACCCTGGTGGTAGAAGGGAGGATCTACAAAATAGATCTATTCCCGTAGCTAATAAACCTGATCACTTCTGCTGCCCGAGTGCTCTTTAATAGCGCTTAATCAAGGCACCCAGAACCCCGTCCAACCAACAACGTTCTTCGTCCACATGAAGCCAGCTAGAAGAGTGTATAAATGAACTTAGAATGGAAATAACGGCTCGTCCTGGCGATACATACATACTGGTATCATTGTATGTATCGTATGAACAATACGAGAGATCATGCAGCCCGCCCCGCGTCTAGCGCCAATATTGATCAACCTCCTTCCCGGGGTTGCTCCGAGCTGTGTGGACTCGAGAGCCTCTACCGGCATTTAGCGCCAAAGTTAACCAATAAGACTAACACACTAACACAGCTTTCTTGGAGGTCGCAAAGACTGGTTCTGGCGGCGAATCGAACGCTTTTCTTTGTGCACACGCCTTGATACTTTTGGCCATTTGTACCACACGAGACTGGGGTTTAATCTTTTTTGGTCTGGGCTTAAAATGGCAACTATTCGGCACTTAAGCATGTAGCTGTAATCCAGCATGCAATTATCGCAGTCCCCAACAGAAATGAATTCTTTGCAAGAAAATTTGATATGTCGCATAACGATCTAGCCAGAGCGCAGAGCGTCCCGCCAGGCAGACGCGCAATGCAAGTTGCCGCGCTCTGTATCAGTGCCCTCGACGGATCTCCTACCTCCAGGGATATGTGGCATGGTTGTTACTGAGTCTGTTGACGGTGACTTTGATTCCGGTATGCCGTGATGAGTCAACGTGTTTCTCGTTTATCCGCCCTTGTTGCTTTTTGGGGGCTAACTCTTCCTCCTTCCGATGCTAATTTTGGACCTGTAGGGAAAAAGCCGTTGAGACGAATAATAATAATAAGAAGAAGAAGAGACGAATAATAATAATAATAAGAAGAAGAATGTGAGGAAGCACGTAATTTTTTGCGGCTGGGACAAGCGTTCTAGCATGAGCGCGAACGAGCGCGAAGAAGATGGCTGGGCCAATCAGCCGCCGCGAACGAAGTGCCCGGAGTTGATCCATCTCGACTTGGCAATAGATTCTGATGGCCAGGGATGTTTTTTCGCATTCTGAGCCTCTATGGCCCGAATCATTGGAGGGAAGAAGAGAAGGCGAAAATATCCCGCAAAACTAATGCATGGATCCAAATGGTGCACGTATCGGATCAACGGATTGTGGATATGTTACTCTACTCCCGCAGCCGCAGCGATAACCTTGATTTTAGGGGCATTGGCAAATTTGGAGTAGACGGGAGAGAAAATATTAGATTCGTGCGAGGGTTTGGACAGAAATTCCAGATGACGTCCACTAGGAGTGTACCCGCGCCTTGCTGCACGAAATCAGGGGCTGAACCTCTCGATCATGTGATTTGAGGGAAGGAGTGAGGTCAGACTGCTGTCTTTTATGATGCCTGGACTTTCCCAATTTTGATTTTCATTTATTTCTCTTTCTGCTCGGCAAGAGTTGCGAAAGTTGCGAAATCCTTCTACGCAGTAACTAACTAACTACTATCTCGGAAATATGTCAGCAGGTTCACAGAACACAAAGGATGAAGCGCCCCCCCCTCCATGGCCAAAGCAGCATGAGCTCAGTTGCTCATTGCTTTCAGGTCATAGGCTCTTTGGGAAGCGGCTACAATTCAATACATCATCCACCAAGAAAGATATGATCAATTCAGTGTGTTACTATCCCGGGTATCAGTTCTTCCCTAGAACCCTTGATCTCCGCGCAATTTTGTTCGTCAAGCGTGCGTGCTGAAGATGTTTATTTGTCACAATCCTTCAATGGAAGCGAGCTAGTTATGGGAAATGCGAAAGTCGAGTCAAGCTCACAAGCACAAACGCCCTATTCATTTTTCTTTCATCTTTCCACTCTTTTTTCAAAGGATGAGATTGTTGACTTCCATGAGTCCGTCGTTGGCTTTCATTGGTTTTCGGCATTGCGCTTGGATAGAAATCCTCAGCTCCGCTAAAGTTCTCTACTTTGCGGGATGGTTGGACTCCTCAAGAGGGCGTTCGAGACCACCTTACCCAATTTCAACTCTTCACGGGTAACTAACAAATTTTCCTTCTTTATGAACCTAGTGGCTATTGGCCACATAGTTGTTCTACCCTGATGTGGGAGGATTACCTGGCAGCGAGAAGCATCATGAATGCTTTGACGAATACTCTACGAGCTCCACAACAATTTTGATGCAGCGCCTGAAGCAACCACATTACACCTCCGAGGAGTACTGAAGAAGTGCGCGTCTCGCGCCTAATATAGAGAATTTCGAGTGTGGAAAGTCTACATTCAGCCAGCCCTTGACCCTCCAACCTTGCCAAACGAAGTGAGATATTTCTGTCCTTGATCAGTGGCTGGCTTCATTGGGTATCTTTGCAGAGGAGGAGGAGGACAGGAGTTTAGCCAGAACTACTGGATTGAACCATTCACCGGGTTGAGAAGCATGCCCCTTCCTTCGTCCTCCCATGCTATGTCGTGTTCAAGCTCATGAAGGCTGGCTGAGAAATTGCCAGGGTTGGACACCTTGTGTGATGACAAATCTATCATGATGAAGCGCACTATACGTGCGTGAAAACCCGAGGCGCCTGATGGCTGTGTCTATAAGTTTGGGTAGGTCTCCGCTCATATCTTGCGCAACTGCCAGACATGTGGTCGTGCTTGAACAAATTTCTATTCAACAGGCAACAATTGCAACTCATTCCTTAACTCATTTCTTAACTATACTAAATAATCCCCATCCGTGGCGGTTGTCCAGATTTCTACCAACGGCAATGAGTGCTATCAGCTACCCAGCAATAGCGCAGTCCAGCGATACATTGGGCGGCCAGTATATTACTGGAAGACGCTTGATGACAACGCCAAAAATGCCCAAATAGTGGCAAATGACCACGGTGTCTACCTGCGGCGATCGACCAGCATGGTTATGTACACTCTCGCGAGGGTGGCTCATGGAGTCTAATCAACCAGGGCGCAGCCAAGATCTGGGCTTCTGGCTCAAACCATTTTTACAAGTGGAACTTGGCAGCCCATTGACAAAAGTCCCCGGTTCAAGGACCTTGCCGTAGACGGCGATGCTTATACCAACTTCACATGGATGGTACTGCTTGGAGGTATAATAGCACCTGGCACCACCTTGATGCTAATGGTCACCTTTCCGAAATTGCTGCAGGCGGAGGACATCTCTATATGCGCCATAACAATGACCAAGTTTTCCAGTACCATGGTACCATTCATTGGACCAGAATTTGCGACATGGATTCGCACGCCATCCAGATTGCAGCAGGCATGGAAGGAGTCTTCAAGCATTGCCAAAATGGTGGGATATATAAACATGTCAGTGGAACCTCATGGAAGAAAGTTAGCGGAGAGATTGCCAACTTCGAAATCGCGGTAGAAAAATACCTGCACCGAGCGAAGACTGAAAATACCATCAGCCGTTTAGACTTCAATAGCACCCCCTGGCAAATCATCCGACCACCGACAGGATGGCACACTGAGAAGGTTCAACCTGCGGAACAGTATAAAAGTGGTTACGCAGAAGCCCAGCGCATTTGGCTCAAAATAGGAAATGGTGCCCCGGTCAAAGTCACTTAATAAAGGGTACGTATGGTTTATTGTCCGTGGCCTTTGTCGGTGTTTCTTGCCCCTTCTGGTCCTTCACGTCTTTCTTGCGAATAGTGACCTTTGTAACAGCGCTTGCAGACGCCTTCACCCAGTTCAAGGTTTCCCAGGGGAAATCGCCTTTTAAAGTAGCTTGGTGCAAGAGCGATATGACGGAGTCGATCAATTATATGAAAAATGGTACCGTCGACGCGTGTATCACCTATCACGCGGCCGCAGAACAGTTAGCCATTGACCAAAACTTTGCTAGAAATCCCAGCTACTATGCCTTCCGGGAGCGCTTCCTACTAGTCGGCCCACCATCGAACCGGGCAAAACTCGACAGCAGTGATAGCGTGGAGGAAATGTTTCAATCAATTTACTCTGTAGCTGAGTCTGGCAAGAATGTAAAGTCCCTGAGCCGGTAAATCCGCCCCCAATATCAAGGAGTCGGAGTTGTGGATTAAAATTGGCGAGGTAAAGTCCCCGCCGGCGAGCCCTCTAACGATTGGAGGTCATAGACACATACATACTGACTGTCGACTATGAAAGGCTCCATGGGCTCAAACAAAGTCTCCATGGTACCACGAGAACGCAGAGTATCCAATCCAAGCGCTGACGACTGCGGTAAGGTTGGGAGAGTACACCCTTACAGACTGGGGAGCTTCTCTCTCGGTCCCTCACGAGGTCCAAAACAACCTCACCATCTATAAAAAGGGACCAGACAAGGAAGATGATCCGCTCCTTATGCCTGCTCATCTCCTAGTGAGCGATGAGCCTCCGCTTGCAAAGTATTTCGCGCATTGGCTGGTTAGTAAAGAAGGTCAGGTAGTCGTCGCTGGCTTCATGAAGGATGGAAAGCATGTTTACTCCGGTGCGCCGTGAAACCAACTGCACAATGTGAGTTCCTGGCTTTGTGTGTAATCAAGACCTGCTAAAGGACTTTCTCAAGGTTGCAGCTCAGGTTGCCCTACATAGCTATCGACTATAATACATGCGGATTAGTGCGTTTGACTTTAGGCGCGAAGTAAATTCGATTGTTATCACTTGGTTCCTTTCGTTTTGATGGCCACTTCGAAAGGCTAATTCTCCTCTTTGTTTGCTTCATTCTTTCTTCTTATTCCTTTGGCCGCTTCATGTGATATCTGTGGGAGCCCTAGGCTTCCTAGTACGGACTAGCGCCCCGCACCAAGCATATATCGCTCACTAGATAGCTACCAACAATACAATCACTCAGACGTCCAACAGGTTATAGCCCGGATAGCTTTTTTTTTCATTAAACCTTCCGCAATCACTACTTTTTCTCTTATCTGAGGTATAAAACGTCTCGCGAGCTGCATCGCTGAACTGCAGAAGGAACCTGACAAAAAGCAACTGTTTTGAAAGCTTTGATCGCGGGAAAAGATTGATTCAAAGGGGGGGTAAACAAATGCCTCCAAGAACGCGAGCTACTGCAGGATTGTTGGATACACCTGCAAGCAACATGGATATGAATGAAGAATACAGGCAGGATACACCTACTCCCATGCCGAGGGGGGGTGAAATGGGATCTCAAACTGGAGGTCAAATGAATGAAAACGCCATGATTCGAATGATGATGGATTATATGAAGAAACAGGACAAACGAATGGAAATGCTCATACAAAAGCTAGAGAGCAACTCAAGCTCTCTGTCAACTACTCAGGACCCTATTAGTGAGTATTGAAAGGATGCCAAAGCCAAGCTGGAAGGAAAGCATGTAATCATTCTCAACGGATCCATCAACTACTTGGAATGGAAGAGTTCAATCCTTGTGAATGCTCATCTTATTCAGGCAAAAGATGTTCTTATCAAGAGAGAAACAGTGCCTCCTACCACAGTGCCTCTGGATATTGAGCTTTGGAATTGGAAAAATGAGCTTCTCTATACCCGGATTTTCCAATCTTTGAACACCACTGTACGCAATTCTCTGGGACCATTGGATGAAGATGCCTATCTTGCTGCCACTATATGGAAGAATCTCGCTCGACGCTATGCTATATCTCGCGCAGAAGAACGCCTTCTAACCACTAAAAAGATGAGAGATTTACACCTCAAGAACAGCGATTTCCACACCTATCTTGCGAATTTCCGAGATCTTAAGGCAAAGCTGGTATCTCTGGGAGAAAACTGGGCTGAGTGTACCTATCATGATCTATTCATTCTAGGATTGGGGGATTGGCAACAGGAATTCATTAGAATGAAGCTGGATGAATTCTATGCTACTAAACAGGGCCCTATTCAGAATCTGAACCTTGATGATTTGATGGATCAACTGGCCACGCGAGCCACCATCAACATGCCTGCTACTATCACTCATCCTTCCACTGCGAGCCCTGTCACTGAACAATTTGATGAACGCCAGTGCCACTACTGCAACAATACTGGCCATATCATTAAATACTGCTGGTTTAAGAACCCGAACCTCGCGAATGCTGAATGGAAGAAGCGTAACAAGGAATGTATCAAGGCATTGAAGACAGCAAAGGATAAGAAGAATAAGGATAAAGATGATATTCTCATGAGCCAGCCAGGCCATGGATTCTTTGCAGGAGTTTCCCTGGATGTCTATGAACTTATGAAGGATCAACCAAGTTATTCACAAGATGGATAAGGATATGATGAATATGACAGATGAATAAGATGGATTTGATTTCATGTATCAGACCTAGTCCTAATGAGGAAACTAGGTGCTGCTTTTTGTAATTAATTATTATTGCGGATTTGAATGATTTGAGAAAGATAGATAGGATAGCTGCACGGTAGCTAGTCCGAGGGGGGGTGTGGGAGCCCTAGGCTTCCTAGTACGGACTAGCGCCCCGCACCAAGCATATATCGCTCACTAGATAGCTACCAACAATACAATCACTCAGACGTCCAACAATATCTTCCTATTGCTGACTACATCGGTGGGTACTGGCTATCGAATTGGTTATATCCGACTATCGAAAAATGAAAAGAAGCAAACCCCGAAAAAGACAAAAGGCAGGAGGTCCCAGACTAGAAATGTGGCACTCAAATTGATTATTGAAGGGGTAGCAAGTAATTCCCTGATCCATGATTCATGAGAAGCATGGAAGGCCAAAAACTATTCAAATGCGTTCATTATCATTTCACTATTTTCCATGCAAACAATATTGAAGAATCATTCTTCTTAGCACGGAGAATATAAGATTCCGTATTGGGGGATGATATGTCAGACATCTGAGAGAAAGATCAAGGCCGGAGCGCGATTGAAGATAAAATTCTTCTGGATGGAATTTGGAATGGACGAATACTTTGCCCCTTCCCACTTCCACCCCTTTGCCGCCGCTCGTGGGTTCGTTCACAATGAGACGTAAACCACACGGGTGATGCTCTGACTTTCCAATCTTCAATTGATCTAACCATCCGCAGACAACAACGATTCGACGTATATGATAAATAAAAAAAACCCTGCCATTAGTCTCGGACACGATGCGAGTTCATCCGCCAATTATCATGGCAGGTCGGGGGCAGCTCTTCATCCTGCAAGAGCCGTTTCAGGATATCGGGTTTTTGAAAACCCTTTTTATATATATTTTTGACTTCTAGAGCCTTTTGCTCTCAGATGCCGAAGAAAGGTTAATCCTCTGCCTCATGATCGCCATTATCGTTGCTTCCGGAGACTTAGCGGCCGCAGCTTAAAGCTGTTCAGATACTCATAAATGAGTTTTTTTTTGTGCGTTGTTCCGCGCTTGTCCTGAGACGAACATCCATGAATGAGGATAATACGGGAAACGCGCGAGGATGACAAGTTATGTTACAATGCATGACAGCGCAAGGGAGAGATGCACCAAGGGCAAATGACCGCGTATAGCGCTGTACGTTCGCTCGGGCTTGCTTTGTTTCCCTCGTATGTATGGTAATATATGTAATATATGTACAGTACTTTACTCGGTCCTTACACTCTCGTTTTGATTGAACTGCAAGCCATTGATCCCACCCCGGCTTGGGCTGCTGCAAGTCAGCATCTGTGATGGTCGAATAATTATTAGTGCTGGCATTGAGTTTGGCCGCTGATTGTGGGGTGGGGGGTGGTGAGGACCAGACCTGAATCTTCCCTTCCTGCGGGGTGGGGCGATGAACTTTCGACGGATTCTCAGCTATCGAATTTTAGAGAGCCCCGCAAAGAGATGAACCATCTCTCAAGTCGATCGACCATCGCATGCTGGCTAGCCAATAAGGCAATGATCCTCTTGCCTCTCTCGATCATGATATTTGAGCATCATTCTCCAACGTTCGTGATTTGTTTAGGAGGGGATGGCCGCCGTAGAGAGGGATGGACGATCTGCAACACTGTTTGAAAAATCCCTGGTTTGAATTGATGACCAGAAGAATCCTGCCTGCAATGGCCGATAGATAGGGTGATGAAAGAAAACTACTGCGTAAATCCTAGGAAGTTCAGAATCAGGCTATCGAACCGAATGCCTCAAGGATACGTGGCCGTGTTCCTGGTATTTTCTCCTGGTTTCTACACCAGGGAGCTCCGGGGCAATGATCCTGCGATCGTCCGGGGAATGAGCGGAATCGTGCTCTGGCGTCTTGCGTGTTTACCACTAGATGGTTGCAATGTATGCACCAAAGGGCATCACACCGGGGTTAGCCGCATATCCATCTCCAGTCTACCTGGCTATTGAATTGTAATCCGTCTTTTCTGTGTGCGATTCCAACATAATGATGTTGGAAAAGGAATAGAGTTGAGATATCTCTACGGAGTACAGAGTAAAGTAATGTGCAGACGATTCCGAGTTTTTTCCCGAGTTGACTCGGACTTGGTCCGCCAAGACCCCGACTCGGCATCGGTCTCCTTCTCGTATACGCAGTATGTTCGACTCGGCTCGACTCGACTTGTCGGGATATTGAACCTGGCTCGAATACCTAGTGTTTCAAGTCGGGGGTAATCTGGATCCATCCGAGTCAAGGCTCCTCAAGTCATACCTCTCTAGCTCTTCCAACTTCGTTTTCAGTTGCTGAGCCATCATACCTCCCTACCCTACCATCCATCTCGAGATCGCATTCTATGTGTGCAACGGAAATGGGGTCACCCAAGAGCTACCAGAGAGCTTGTTGCAGGCTTGTGATATAATATTCCTTTTGGGGAAAAAAAACGCTACTGGAAAGGAAAGGTTACATGAGATTGGGATACAAAAATCAATCCACTTCCATTTATTTTGAATCAAATCCCAATTTCGATGCCCTTTTCACTGCTTCGGGGTCTCCTTCCCGCCATCTACAAATGCTAACCTTTCCAACCGATCATTCTCCTTCCTAGCCTGCGCCCTCCGTTTTTCCTGCAAAAACTTGGCTTTGCCAGGCTGGATAAAAGTCATTCTCCGTAATATCAGCTATGATTGGAGCGAATATCGTGTCGTGCGCGTTTCGCTGATGAAAAATGTTGCTATCGTGATTGTTAGGTCCAGGGGTAGAGCGTTTCCATTGCGGCCTATTTATTATTGCTGAGCTCAGGGAAGAACGAAGTTAGTCCCAAATCTGTCCAGATCTTAAAATCAAAGTCCATTTAAACTTGGATCAGACACTCACCAAACTTAATTCTTAAATCCCCTGACACGACAATCTTCTATAGCCAGCTTTGCGTCCTCCAATTCCTCTCTCAGAATTTTCGCCCAATCTTGGAATTTCTCAATTTCTTGATAAGCACCGTCCAGCCGTTGCCTGACCCTCTCGACTTGTCGCAGTAATTCCGGATCCTGAGCGCCTTCAGCCACTTGCGCTACAACTTGCATGACAGCGTCATTGAGCTGGACGTCTTCAAAGAGCTCGATGGATATGTCCATAAGCTGAGAAATCTGGACTTGAAACTCCTTCATCTTAGCATACCAATCATCTAGCAGCTGGAGCATTTCTTCCTGAATTTTGAGTTGATTCGTCTTTGATTCCGGGAGTTCGCCGGCCATCTTTTCTCCTTTCATTTGACTGCTATAGTTTTAGCTTCGCTTTTTCTATTTTGACATTATGGCCTGAATTGTATTACTGACCGATAGGGACTGGAAAGTTAACTGGTATTTGCAAGATGTCCACAAGGAGAATCGCGAGTTAGAGAGGTTGCATTATCCGTGAGAATTCAGTTGCGAGTTCAAGAGCACGGAAAGACGTACTGATCTTTACTCTTTTTAGAGGGTCCATAGGCTGGGTGTTAGGCGGTAGTGTTATTCGAGCTGGAGTGCTACGTTCACTTTTTCTGTTTGAGGTTCATCACTTACATTCTCCTTGGGTGATTATTTGTTTACTCTGGAAGAATTGCCAGTATATGGATTCATCCTACGAGCTCAATATTGAACACTTTATCCGAAACCTAAAAGGATTCTGCACATTGAATACTTGATGAGCATGTAACATATCGTAGCATTCTCCTTGAGTTAAGCTACTCCAATTGCTTTTTGTCGCGGCACACCTTTATTCATTGTTGATTTTTGCTTGCCACGCGATAGAGTGGGCCATATCCACAGATATTCCCCTTTCGTTTTTATCTTGAATCCTGCCCAAGCCTTTCGTGTACTGGGTGTGTGTTACAGCTGTCTTGTCCCTGCGTCTCATCCTAGATGATTAATTGAGGTTAACCATGGATGCTGAAAGCCCTCAATATCAATCTCAAGTAAAACATGAAGTTTATCATACTGTTTCTTATCCACGGGATTCAAAGCAGTCACTCTGATGGTTTGAAATATAAGGCGATTGTGGAAAAGAAATTAGAGGGACAATAGGAAGGACAACAATGCAACCATAAACCTCAAGGAAAAAGTCACTTCAGCCCCTATACAGAGTACAGTGCCGTGCGAAAGCTGATGAACTCGATTTAATGGTGAAATTGCCCGCCTTTGTTATTCTCCTCTCGGACAACAAAAATTGTGATATCATCGCAAAGGCACATGTTAACAGTAGGGACGAACGGGTCTTCACTATTCCTCGCGGAATATGTTTCATCTTCTTGTCCATCCTATTCATATCACTCGCACATCTGGAAGCTAGCTCAAGGAAACCGAAGCCCTGTCTTTTGTGTGTTCCAATACTTGGTTGAGACACCTTGCAGAACATTGGCTCCTTGTAATTGCCACGATTAAACATACTTGTTCACGAAGATCTACGTCCGGATATGTGCAGCGCTCTATTGCCCATGCTCTCTTCAATTTATCCAGATCGCCGTGCGTGATCCTCTTCATGAAGAAGTGCAACAGCAGATCCCCCCTAAGCAGCTGTCCCTAGTATCCGTTCTCTCGAAATGCAAAGAGAGTGGCATCGATATACTGCCATTGATTAGTGGGTTGACAGTACTTCGTGGCCTTGCACCTTTGACGCCTCGCAGCCTTCTGCTTTAACTCGCAAGGAATTCCCAGGCACCGTTATGTTCCGCTGACGTGCGATTACCGGTTTATCAGGAACAGACCTGGCAAAGAGCAACGAAGACTCTTCTCCAGGAGTGCTTCATTCTGCCCGTGGGTCTGGATGTTGTACCTGCAAGTGGCCTCGCGGAACCTAACTAACTTCGTCCCTTTTCAGGTATACACGATGCTCACTGCTCCAATTTGCGAGTATATTGATCCCGGGTCACGATTCACACACTTTGACATCCAGGTAAAATATTTTCTCTTTCGTTTCGGCGGGGATTTCCTCCAGCGAAGTTAAGCAGAAACGAGACTCCCTTAGATTGGTAGGACTTGCATTATTCATGCCAGTAACTTGTATCCATGTCTATTTCGTCCAAGAATACCTCCTACTTCCAAACCTAATGATCAAAAGCGAGTAGTCGGATTGCGAAATTTTCTCCTTGCCTGGGGAGGCAGCAATCTATTTGTCGCTTTCAGTTGGGGAGTGAGTTCGATTACATTTGCCCGCAGAGAACTCAATTGGGTGAACTCAATGCCCATAATTTAAGGGGCAATACAGAATGCAGCATCTCATACCTAAGTACGCTCCCCATATTCTGTCCCATTAATTAGCTGTGAGCTGAACAAATATGTAGGTAGTTTCAGAGAATCATCCGACCTATCTTGTTTCCTACAAGCAAATGTAGCTCTATACGCGATATAAGCCAGACCATCTTTTAATCAACCTGGGGAAGTGCGAAGAAGGATGGGCATATGGACAGGGGATATAGTTGCTTGCTGTACTCAGTTTTTATTTAGTATGATTCTAGAAGATATGGCTGTTATAGGGCAGTTCACAATCCAGGGGTACAATATAGCTCCCTGATTCACTGTTATTCAGCCAGCGAGTCAGTAAGGTAGATAGATACAACCTTGAATGACAATTCTGACATACCTAATGACCTCACATGCTCTCTTCCCTTGGTGAATATTGTTTGTATGACTGCGTGAACAAAACCCACGACGCGTCTATTCCTCCAGCGCGTGGCATGACCTCATTTGGTTTCCTTCTCCGATTCATAGCACAGGACACACACCTATATATATGCTTACCACACCCCAACCCATTCAGTTCCCTCACACCTACGCGTTCTCTCCCCCATACCGAACTGCTCAGTGCGGTCTCCTCCCACTAGATATCTCAGAAGATACCATATCACTTTCAATTTGCATTTACACAAGCTCCGTCAGGGGACTCAGACTTCCTCGTAGCAGGCTTGCCAGCAAACCAACAAACTCCCCTCCAAAGGCCCTAGGAGGCTGATATTCCCTTCCCTCCCCAGCCTGTGTGGAAAGGGGAGGATATCGGGAGTATATATATCTATACCATGCGACCCTGGGAAATATAATGGGACCAAACTATGTAGCCTACCAAGTCCACGACGCTCCATATTCCTATGGGGCCGATTGCTCAGGGATGGCAATGGCAAGCCCAGAATATGAGCATCAGTTCTGCAGCCTGGTAGGTTTTGAATGCAGGAAAACTCCACCAGAAACTGCATATGCTTCATTGGAGGAAAGCGGAAAGTTGGAACAAGAGCAAACTAACAGGTTCGTCTCTCCATCCTTCTCAGCGGAGTCATACAGGGAGACCTCGTCTGGAGATAGATGTGGAACCAGTTGATCTTGAAATGTCTCTGGATATAGAGGAGCAGGTAGGTTGACCATACGCGAATATTACGCGGTATATCACTTGATAAGGACGGATGACTAACTACTCCTGCGAGGCTGAGAAATAGGCAGCTTTGTCTGCGCAGCGAGAAAGGGATGAAAGGAGATGCAGGGAAGGTAGGAATGGTGTATGCGAGGTATTTATTCCTCGTAGTTTACCTTGAGGCAGACTCTCAAGAGTATGAGAATTAGAATTAAAGTGAGAGGAGACTTGCACAGAGAAGGGTATGCTGACAGAACCCTCAGGGACACGGGGGTCATCAGATGCCGCCAGTGGTTTACTCTGATGGGTACCACGGCCCTGATGTACCCCTCGGATGCCCCATATACCAAAACACGAACAGAAACAGTGAAACCCCGCAACATATTCGCGTAGAAGAACAATGCGGGCCTAATCAAAAGGCGCCGGAGGTGGAAATGGACTTCAGGCCCTGCGCGGATGACAAAGACGAACCATGCGAACACGAACATAGCTACACGCACATCCACACCGGTGATCGAGTACTAACGCTGAGAATACCATATTTAGGTCCAGTGGGCTGGACTGTCCCTGCCCGGGACGGTCCACAAACCACCAGGCCATTTCTCATTTACCAGGATCCCACAGCTGGCTACCGGTCACCGCCCCCGCCACCAACAGCAAAGAGGCCAATTGGTGAACGCGTTCATTTGCTGGCAAGCGACGACAAGGAGAATGTAGCTGAGGACATGGATGAGAATGAGGAAGAAGGGAATATACCCGATCACGACGCTTCTTATGTGGAGGATAATATGGTTGCTGAGGCGGAGAGTATCGTCGAGCTTGCCGCGATGAACGATGGGTGGGATTTATGGACGTTGAGGAATAGACCACAACATCTAAGCTTGAGTCAGGGAGGGCCTGGGTATGGGCATGGGCATGACCTAGATCATCAGTACGGGCATGGACATGGACTCCAGCACAATCCGCAGCAGGATGATGAACCCGAGATAGAGTACAATGTCGCTGTTGGCGGGTCATTGGAGGCGAGTCCGGTGCGGTCTCAGCGAGCGCACTCGAATTCCATTGTTATTGTTAGTCCTCCACGGAGAGCTAGCCGTTTGGATGACGGGGATGCTGGAAACGCGCCCTCCGTGAGATGGAATGGATCGCCAAGGGCAGGGTCGTCGTTGTTTTTCTGAAAAAGTGAACAAGCGGCAAGGTGAACTAACTAGTTACCCTGCGTTTTTCATTTTCCGTTCAATTTCCCCTCGTCGTATGCACTTCTCTCCCTTTCCAGTTCTCGTTTTCCAACCAACAACCGTTGATACGATGGGATATTCGGCTGCACGCCGCGCCGGATCATTCCTGAATAGAGAGCAGTGGCTTCTTGGCGGCGGCATCAGCGCATCCCAGGGGACCATATCGAGCGCCAGGAGCGGGAAGCAAGCAGATCATCCTTGTCGTGTTCACCTCACATCACGACAAGCATGAGGAAGACAGGCAAGGCAGCCTTGCAGAGTTAAATACTCGGTAAAATGTTAAGAATATTATGGGCTTGATCGAATATAGAATAATGCTAATATTAGATAATTATTAATAATTAACTATCGTATAGTTAGTTATACAACAATATAAACAGTGGAACGTCCATCGTTGAAATCGTTGAACATTCAAACTCATTTAGGAGGGCAACGATGGGAGAAAATAATGAGGTCAGCTACTAGTGCGGTCAGTTGATGTGTAACTATAACCTGCCTGCCTGCCTGCCTGCCTGCACGGGCAGGGGCCAGGGGCGAGCCAGGGGGGGCGAGCCAGGCCAGGGAGCTCTCGAGTTTCTCGATGCATAGTTCCCCAGCCGCAAATGTTTAAAAGCCACGCCTAAGGATCAAAATATGAAAATAAACCTCGCCCTCGCTTTCCTCTTATCTTGCTATATTTCTGTTTTTCTTTAAGAAAAATTTCGAAAAAAGCATCGAGCGTATCAGCTTCTTTACATTTGGTTATGTTCGTTAAAGATTGAGTCAAGGCCATGACAAAAAGGAAAAAGAGCAATGAAACAGAGAAATGAAATGCAGTTGCACAAGTATCTATCTGTCCAATGCATGACAATATATGTGTGCGTGTGCTTCGGGTACCTGCATGAATATTGAGTCGAAAAGGGGGCCTGGTCCCTCTGATGTTTCCCCGAAAGAGGCTTTTACAGAAAAGGAAGAGGTGTCCAATATATATATAAGGGTTATTTTTTTATATATTTTTTTTATATATTTTTTTTTCTTAAAAAAATCAATCCCTCACAAAACAAATGTCCCCAGATATATACATAAAAACAGGAGTTTGATTGAACTGGTATCATTTTGCTAATATAATTCAGGACTAGATCTCCACGGCGACTCGACACTGGGGAGGGAACTACACAACTAAAATTCAACAAAACCATGGGAAAATTCGACAAGCCGAAAAGAAGGTTGAAGGGGGAAATTCCTTCCCTTGAAGAAGAATACTAAAACAAAATGAAAGAAAATGATGAAAAAAAAAACCAAAAAAAAACAGCAGTTTGATAAAGCGAAGGGGTATTTCGATTCAGCAAAACGAGCCTCTCATACCAACCAACCAACCGCGCACTCCCCCAATATATCCTGCCTGTTCCGTCGAACTGGCACAAAATAAGTTTTTAGAAACCCATCATATCGTCCTTCATACATACTCCCACCAGTTTTCATCCAATTATGATTAAATCGTATTATCGGAAAATAATAATACCTCGTGGGATGAGCAAACACAGCTGCTCGTTATAATTACCACAAACCAGAGCTTCTCATTCAAACCTACCGCATTGCCAGGGCACTGCATGGCATGTTTCCACCTCCCATCGTCCGCGATCACACCAAAGCGACAGAGGGGAACCCAAAACCTAGAGGCGATGGTAGAAACAAGTAAAAGAAAAGAAAGAACGACAGGAGAAGAAAAAAAAAGAAAATTAATAATGAATCGGCTCCTCATAAATCGGCGGCCTCCCCTTCTCCTCATTCCACGTAATCTTATTCTTCTCGTCAATCGTCGCATCCTCATCGGTAATCGCAATCACCTTGGACGTATGCGCTACCTCCTGCCTACTCACTCCACCCGCGTCGCGCGGAATCCACAACAACGGCGGCTGCGAGCCGACAGAAGGGTGGAAATACGCATTTTGCTCTATTTCGAGGGTATATGAGATATCTCCGAAATCCTTGGGGACGAGCTTGCGTAGAGTCTCGTAGTTGGCATATTTGTCTGGGCGCAGGAATTTGCCGATGATGCCTTGTGGTTTCAGAGGCAGGAGGTCGGCTGGGTTGGATATGCCCTTTTCGGCATCTCCACCCTCTGCACCATTGGTGGATGGCCCGACGCCGTTCTTTTCTCCTGGCTCACTGCCATCTTGAGGGGAGCCGTCTCGGGCGAGCAGATCCTGTTCTTCAGCTTCGAGGTTCCGGGGCAGGTACTTGAGCAATGGGGTGACGGCCGCATTAAGTGACAGGTGGTAGATAACGACGAAGACGAGGAAGATGATCATGAGGATTAAGGGGCCGAGAGCGCTCTTGTCGCTGCCGGTGCTGATGGCGAAGAGCCCGATCAGGCAGAGAATGAGGAGGTAGCAGCCTACGGCTGTTTGTTGGAGGGCGCGTGGGTAAATCATGCCCTTGGTGTCGATGTTGCTGTTAGTGACGTACAGCATGTTGTAACGATATGCGACGTAGAAGAGGAACAGGCCAATAGTTGCGAAGCCAAGGACCAAGGGGGCAATCGCGCCGTAAGTAATGGCTGAAAGAGAGGAGAAATCAGTATGGAGTTATGGTTTGATAGCAAGGGGAATGGGTGTTACGTACCAATCACGCAAAGATTGGTCAGAACGGGAAGGACAGTTCCCCAGCCCAGTCCAGACAGGGTTGACCACCGTTTGTACATTTTTCGGGGAGTGTTATCAAAGAGCTTGCCCAAGATCTTGGATACAATCAAGCCTACGATCTGGAGCAGAGCACCCGCACTGAAGGTTAGACCCTGGAGAATGAAGTACGCAATATAGAAGTTAGACGCTTTTGGGATATTCTGAGCGAGGAGTGTAGCTGCGCTCTGAGGATTTTGAATAATTTTCTCCACGACGCTGGAGGCGGCGGAAGACAACGTCGTAACGAGGAACACCTGGACAACCTGGAATCCGAAATAAAAGTTTTGGGTCCTGAGCTCAGCAGCGGCTGTGGTTGGGCAACCACCAAGTCTTGCCATTACTGCAAATTGGGAAGAGGTAGAAACGATTAGCTCAGAGCGCGATTTACTAGGTTCGGAAAACAACACTTACATCGAAGGATGATGGGTAGGAGAGCCATGAGAACTGCGAGCAGCACGGCAGGGAGGAGGGCAGTGATAAGACCCAAGATGACCGGAGGGCAATCGTTGATGAATCTGAGGAATGGAACTTTCTCTGTCAGGAAGTTGATGTTCGAGATCGCACCGACAACGGCAACGGGAATCGCCCAGAAGATGATCAGAGCCACAACGGCACCGATGGTGGCAGCATTTCTGATAATGAGCTCCCACCACTTAATCCTCAAATTCGACCAGATGATATCATTAGGGTTAAGACCAATGTATCGTGGAGCCATGTGGAGGGGTTGGTTATGAGCAACTGGAGTGATCGCATTAGTAAGTGTACCCCGTAATGACTATTTTTTGGACATAGAGAGCAAGTTTTACATACCCATTTGATATGCCGACTGAGCTTCATTTTGGGTGTAAAACTCAACAAATATCGCCGATATCTTGGCAGCGTCACCAGCACGATGTTTCGCCTGGAGAGCTTCAATTTCCGGATTCAAGCGCTCGATCTCAGTTCTTGACCAGTTGATGGTATCGACCTTTTTACCGATGACTGGTTTGAGTTTATGGGTAGGTCTATCGGAAGGTTTGATCCAGCGAGAAGCCACTGAGCCCGATTCTCCCTGAGCTTCATCGCTAGTGGGATTATCTGTGTCATGGTTTTCTTCGTCAGCTGGCTTAGCCTTAAGCGACTTGATGCGCGCGACATTGGCCAATTTAATCAGCTTCGTTTCAGCACCCTCAAGGCGGAACGCAGTTTTGTCTCTTGCTTCGACCAAGTCCGCCAATTCCTTGGTGTCAGTTGGGATCCAAACGTTTTTCACTTTATCATTGCCATAGATACGTCGAATTTTTTCTTCATTTAGGTATTCCTGAGGGACGGAAGTGAAGAGAACGGTCTTCGAAGAGATACGAGAAGCATAGAGAGGGGAGAAGAAGTATGCCTGACGCAAGTTGATGAAAAAGAGCATTTCACGTGTGATCATGAAGAAAACAAAACCTATGCATGATATGTGATATTAGCATTTGGGTTTACTTTCTAACCACCCAAAACAAACTACAATGATTTTTGGGAAAAACAGGAACCTACCAACGAATATCCAAGCCACAAAAGTATGTGCATAGAATCTATTCAGGTTGTTTTTCACATTCCCAAAAGTGAGAAGATCCAATTGCTCCATTCCCCCACCGCCAGTGGCATTGACGGGGAAGAGGATTGGCCAGGTGATAAGACAGCCGACCAAGCAGATGGTCGTCGCAATCTTCAGGTAACGAAGAAGGAGATAGGCATCGAGGGAGTGATGTCGCAGCACGTATTCATCGGACAACTTGGCCATTGAAGTTATCCAGCCGAAGATTCCTGGCTCTGGCGCTGGAGTGCGCTCCTGCTCCCGCAGCGAGCCAATATAGGTTCTCGGGGCATATTGACGACGTTGGCTTTGACGGAGAATGATGAAGACCAATACCATGGCCCCCGAGATGATGAGGGTGGGGACCAAGGTCGAGACAAGCCCGGAGGCGGAGTTGGAAGTGGACTTGGGATCCTCGTCCTTGCGAGCGGAGAGAAGAGATATATGTTAGTCGACGAAGCCAAAGCAGGCTCAACACAGCTCTGCTTCAGGAGCGGAGACATTGAGAACGAAACTGGGATGTTTATTGCTTACCATGGCTGCGGTTTCTGCAGCTACTCGTGCTGCTGCTAAGTTCCGCTGCCAAAGCTGCACAACACAGGTGGGTGGAGAGCCGCCAACGACAGCAATGAGGAGAGGGAGGCTCAAGTAACGATATATATCAACTAGCCCCTCAAGCGCAACGGAATAGAAAAACAAAAACAAAAGGGAAACAAACGGTCCGAGAAGGGGGAGCAGAGCTGAAATAAGTACGAAAAGAAGGAAGAGGAAAAAAAAAAAAAAATGGAATGAGAGACTAATCAGCAATAAGGTCCCTCCGCAAAAGAGTGAGTAGGGAGCAAATCAATGAGCAAAAGGGGCGGACAACAAAGATGAAGTGGACAAAACGCCCCAAGCTCAAACTGTTCAATCGCAAGCCACAGCTCGAATCCACGAGCCAGGAATTGCCGTGCTTGTTGTTCCGCCACCAGTTACCCCCCAAAAAGAAGAAAAACAAGCAATCCGGTGGGTGGGTGGTTGTGTGATGTGTTTTCGGCTCGGCAGCTTGGGAAAGTCGTGGTGGAAATTGATCTGGGCGGCGGCTTTGTTTTGTCTAGCGTGCGCTGAGTCGGCTCACAACAAGGATTCCGAAATATAAACTTATTCCTTTCTGTACTGTCGGGTTTGTTTTTACTCTTCCCCAGTGTCTTCTTCCAGCGAGCTCAATATTATTATTTATTACCGGCTTAACAATATCAACAGCAAAGCACCCCACAGAGTGGCGAGTTTTTCTCCCTAGATTTGCAGGGCTTTTGCCCCGAGTTAATCGCCACCCCGTGACTGGACAAAAACTCAGCTGGATGCACTGTTAAATCTTTATTATTATTATTATCTACCCAGTTGACCGCCGACTCTCTCTTTGGAGATCTTAGATCGCGGTGGGTTGGGTGTGGCTGGAATTACTGCGCGCAGGAAGGCCTGAAGGTGGAGCCAACACCCTCAAGCAGGAGTCTCTGCTGCCAATAGCCATCCACGTTCGGATCGGAGAGCTCGAGAGCGAGCGAACTATCGTTATTTAAACTTCGAGCTTACTGAATAATGAAATAACCCCCCTGTTTCGCGCTGCATAGCAGCCTGGTGTGTTTTTACCCAAACGCACGGATAGGGTTTGGCACGAAGCGGCGCCTTGCACAGGGTATTCTTGACAACCCATGATCTTCAGGCTGGGATTTATATTTTTATTATTATTATACATATGAATGTTGTTTTTCGAGCCGTCTTGCCACCAGAAAACAAGGAAAACCTCGAGCAGCCGCCCCAGTCATATATTTCTCGCCGTTTAACTAAATTTGTAAAACCCCCAGTGAAAGGTAGTTACTGAGCTAACTACTGCGTATGCTTACACTCTGGCTGTGGCTCCTAAACAAGATTTGGCTAGCAATAGAACCTGAGGTGGCAAAAAGATGCTAAAAAAGCCCCAAAATTTCCCGCTGTTTCTCCAGCTCTGATTGATTTTGAATGTGGTTAGACTCTGCTGACAGCAGCTCATAAGTGACAAATGTGTCAAATGAGTTTTTTTGTGGTTTTATGTACTAGTGTTACATTACTATGTATATATATCAATTACATTCATTTTATTTATAATTAAATAAAGCTTATTAATTATATTTTTACTGTGTAAGAAATTAAGCTTTATAAGCAGTTATTTTATATAAATTATTAAATTTTATATAAATTATATAAGTAATAAAGAATTAAAGTAAAAATAAAAATAAAAATATAATAAAAAATAATAAATAGTAAAATAATTTTTTATATTAGTATTAAATATTATAAAATATATAAAAATATGTTAATTATTTTTATTAATTAATGAAGAAGTTTTTAAAGTAGTTAATTAATATTATAAAAACTAGTATTATTATTATTATTATTATTAATATTATTCTTTTATTATAAATGTATTCAGTTAGAAACTATAATATTTATCTGAAAACTTTAGTTTTCAGAGTTTTTCTAGTATCTGTAAAGCTAATTATTATACATTTATCAATTTCAGATATGTAAAACTAGAAAATTTCAGCTCAGATGTAAGAATAAGTACTTATAAATAGACTGACTGCTGAGATTATAAATTTCATATTTAATCTCATTTAATTTAATCTTATACATTTCTTAGTGTGAATTCTACTGAGATTAATTATTAAAAAAACATGTAAAGTAACTATATATCAGATCTTAAAATGAGATCATAACTTAGAAAAAATAAGAAAATAGTTTTATTTAATTTTATTTAGTCTCATTCTTAATATAAAGTTTATCATTTTTAGACATTTTAAGGTTTTTTTAGACTATTTTTAATTTTTTAAAAAGTAATGCTTTTTAATAACACTTAAATAAGATTTAAAGTCATTTAAAGCAATAAAAATAATTTAAATTGAGAAGTGAAAATCATAATCTTATTTAAATAATATGATAAGATGTTATACTTCAGACTGTATCAAGACTCTGCTGCAGTTTTACACAGCTCATTACTTCTCTGTGAATAATTTCATTCATTTCACAGACTGTTCAAACTGGTTTTTAATCACTCTATAACATTATTTAAATATATTATAGAAAGATTCAATTGATGAATATAAGAACCTCACTTCTATATAAGATCAGCAGATTACTCTTTCTTAATAGTAAGATACTACTGAGATATCACTTCAGCTATTCTTACTTATGAAATAAGAGAAGAGTATTCACTCATTATCTATATAGAATAACTAGATACTGACTTCTTATTAAAGAAGTCAGTAATTCATTTTTTCTTCTATAGAAATATATATAAGAGTTACTATATTTCTTATATAATCTTTATAGTATACTAAGTATCATATCTGTGATATTCTCATAATAACTCTGTAGCTTATGAGCTTACTATTTAAGTAAGATAGTTAAGCTCACTTATACAGCTTCTTAAACAACTATTTCTATATAATATTACTGACTAGTTATTACTATAATTCTACTATATTACAATTCAAATCACTTAATCTGATTATAAGTTTGAATCAGTTAAGCTTTATTAACAGATTAATATAATTTTATATATTTATACTAAGACTGATCTGATCTCATTCTCTGAGAGAAACTTCACATTATTCTCTAAAGTATATATATCTCTATCTTAGCAGAAATCTGAGATTTCTAAACTTACTATATATTTTAATATAAGCTCTTCAACTGCTTTATTACTGCTGCAGCCTCTACACATCTATATCTATTATAAAGATAGAGAGATTAAGATCAGAAATTCTTTAAATTATAAGAAAAATATATTATCTGAATTTCACAGCTTTACTTATACTTTTAAATGAAAATTTCATCTTAATCTGAGCTAGTTTAATACTTATAAGATATGAGTAATATACACTGTTAATCTTCTTGAAGACATCTCTGTGACTACTTGAGTTATTAAGAAGAGAGAGCTTGAGTGTACTAATACTATTATAACTTGAAAAGAATTCAAAGACTTTCTACTGAATCAAATTAAAGATTACTATAACTGCAGCTTTATAGTAACACAGCAGTTCAACTTATTATATTAATAAGATAATAATTATTATTATTATTATTATTATTATTTCATTATACTTATATACAAGCAAAGCTTATGATGAGTCCTTGCATGATGTTAAATACAGAATAAGTGTTAGTTATACAGAAGGAAATACAGATGTTGAGATCATGTCAAGATAACAAGAACATAGAAAATACAAAGAAGTGACAATTAGATACATGTGATAATAACTTCTCAGCTCAGAAACATAGAGTAATTTTATTGAAGCAATTTGTACACCTCTGTATTTATTAGAAATCTGAGGTGCTTGAGTTCCGGATTTAATGTATTCCCTGCGGGTTTCGAACCCACACACCTTGGTTTCCCACGCCAAGGCGCTACCGGGGTTAATAAGATAATAAGAATTCTTTCAATTTCAATACAAGATTTAAAGAATATTAAGAGAAATTAACTGATAATTTAAATCAATTAAAGACATAATTTTATCTCATAAAACTGACTTATAAGATACAGACAATGATATCACAGTATCAGAGTTTATTAATTAATTATACTGAGCTTGTTAACTTAGCTTTCTAAATCTATTTAAATAATTAATACTCTGAGAAAAAGACTAATAAGATCTCTTCTAAATAATTAATAATGAAATCTAAATAATACTGTAACAGCTTTAGTGTAGAGAAAGTAAAGAAGAATTTCAAGTATTCTAATTCTTCACTCACTGTGAAGAAATATTAAAAAAGATTTGATAAAGATCTCTATTTTAACTGCAGAGCTGATAATCACTATACTAGTAATTATAAGAAGCTGAAGAAGAAAAGAAACTGAGAAGATATCTTTTTAAAGTTAACTTCTCTTCTGATAAATATATTTATAAAAGATAAAGAAGAGAAAGAAATAAAGAATTAATAATTTTCACATCTCTGAGTTTATATTATAATCACAATAAATACTCTGAATAGAGAGATATCAGTGAGATATCTACTTAACTCTGAGATAAATACTAACTTTATATTCTATTTCCTTTCTTTAATAAAGAGTTGAAAGAAGATAGACTTATCAGATTATATAAAATTTATCAATAAAATAAAATATCACTATTTTAACATAATTCAAGCAAAGTGTATAATTACAGACTTAGAAGAAATCTTTAAAAAAAGCAGTCTACTTCTTTATACAGTTAATATTATAGATGAGAATATTATTCTAGATCTTCTATAATTAAGAGAAAATAATTCTCTTATTAACTGAGTTACTCAGATATAACAGTATTATCTTATTAATAAAGAGACAGTAATAGAGAAATCTGAAGAGTTTTATTGAAAGAATCTTAAGAAAAAGATAGAGTTAATATACTGTATAGCAGATAACTGAGACTTAAAGATAGATGAAGAAGTTATCACTCTCACTATAAAATTAACAGTAATATCTGTTATTAAAGATGAATATATACAATATCTCTTTACAGATTATAAGAATGTCTTTTCAGAAAGAGAAGCAGTGAAGTTTTCTAATATCAAGATATATGTGGCGGGCTGCGCCCGATCAATCATATAGACTATTCCATTACACTTCATAGATTCTTCCATTCCCGATCGCTGATCCGCGGCCGCTACGAACGCGCGTAGTGTATGCTCCGATTCTCAGCCACTCCTGATCACTGATCCGCGGCTGCTATGAACGCGCGTAGCGTACACTCCGATTCTCAGCCATTTCCAATCATCAATCCTCAGCTGCTACAAACACGCGTATATTCTTCCACCCTGAAGCTCCACCATGTACACCACCACATACATGTATAAATATTCATCTCAATCACTGATTCTCACACTTTCTCTTTCTTTCCTTCTCTAACATTTTTATCTTTGTTATATAAGACCTATAATATTATACTGATCTATTCAGTGCAGGCCTCTTACACTATAAAAACATTCATCATCTCCTTATTAGAAATGATTATTCATTGAGAGATATCTGAACATGTAACAACATGTAAGAAATAGAGAAACAGTTGAACAGTTAAGCAGACACTGAGTTCTCAGATAGTCCCCAGATAGAAGCTTGCTCACCAGTTGCCCTGGCCCTGCAACAAGATCTTATGAAGAGAATAAGATCTTACAAGAGAATATCAGTGAAAGACCTGAGAGTTCTGACACTCAGATGTATAAAAATACAATTACACTTCTTCAGATCTCACAGATATCATACATTCAACAATTGATATAATCATATCTAACAATAATATGAAACCCTTGAACATGAACATAGATACAGTGCCACAGTGACTCTGAGCAATGTTGAAACTACAATAACAATAAATAGCTGATATGCATGCAACTCAACAATGTCAATATGAAGAGATTC